GAGGCAAAGGCAGATATACACCTAGTAATCGCCCAACCTGTCAGTTGTGTGGTAAGTATGGACATGAAGTAACTACTTTTTTGCATAGGTTTGATGAAAATTTCATGCCTTCAACCTCAAGTAGTGCTTCAAATGAAGGTTCACAGAATTCTCAAACAAATGCTATGATGGCCACCACAAGTAGACCCTCAGCATACATTAAAGAGTATCATCTACTATCTGAGCTAGAATCCCAGGCTTAGTTTACAGATTCAGGTGTCTCTCATCACCTAACACCTTATGCTTTTCTCTTGCACAACACAAAACCTTATGTAGGAACCAATAAAGTTTATGTAGGTAATGGTCAAACTCTACCATACAAGCCATAGGGTCCTCCCAATTTCAATCTAAAATCAATCTTTCTTGTGTGTTAACCCTTGCCAATATCTTACATGTCCATTCCATAACTAGAAATCTATTGCCTGTTTCTATGTTTTCTAGGGATAATAATGTTATATTTGAGTTCCTACCTAGTAAATGCTACATTAAATCACAGACTTCTAGAAAGATCATTGTTGAAGGAGTTCTAGATGCTAGTGGCTTATATTGCTTTCTTCAGTTGCCTATCAATCTAAAAAGGTCTCTCACTCATATTAGCAAACATGTTCCTTGTACTGGGGTTCACAGCTATGTTGTTTCTGAATCTAACTCCAATAGTATAGACACTTGTAATACTAGCACTTTGTGACATTATAGGCTTGGGCATGCCAATTTTAATTATGTTGCTACTATACTTAAGTTGTGTAACATTTCTTCTTCTACTACTACTACTACTACTACTACTACTACTACTACTACTACTACTACTACTACTACTACTACTACTACTACTACTACTACTACTACTACTACTAATAATAATAATAATAATAATAATAATAATAATAATAATAATAATAATAATAATAATAATAATAATAACAATAATAATAATAATAATAATAATAATAATAATAATAATAGACATTCATTATGCACTTCTTGTTATATTGGCAAGGCACACAAATTACATGTTCCTTTAACTACATCAATTTATCAAAAACCTTTTGACATGATATATACTGATTTATGGGGTCCTTTCCCAAATCCTTCTAGCTCTAGATATAGATATTACATAGCATTTGTAGATGGTCATACTAGGTATACCTGGTTGTACATGCTTAATCAAAAATCTAAGGTTTTACATGCTTTCAAAATTTTCTCAATGTTTGTGCAAACACAATTCAATGTTTCTATTAAATATGTTCAGTCTGATTTTGGAGGAGAGTTTAAAACTTTCATTATGTACTTGACAAAAATAGGTTTCAACCATAGGCTAACTTGTTCCCATACCTCTCACCAAAATGGGACAATAGAGAGAAAACATAGGCAAATCATTGAAATGGGACTTACATTACTTCCTCATGCCTCTTTACCTATTGAATAATGAGACTATAGCTTTTTTATCTTTGCTCACATTATCAATAGGCTTCCCACTTCCACTTTACCAAAGTTTCATTCACCCTTTCATGCTTTGTATGGTAAAGATCCAGACTATTCTAAAATGAAAGTGTTTGGGTGCTCATGTTTTCCCTTACTTGGACCTAATAAAAACACAAATTACAATTTAGGAGCCAAGAATGTGTGTTCTTGGTCCTTCTCCCCAACTAAAAGGTTTTAGGTGTCTGAGCCAAGATGGTAAAGTGTATATTTCCAAGGATGTCACCTTTAATGAACACACTTTTACATTCCCTCATTTATTTCTTTCTACTCCCAACAGTTGTCCTATAAAGTGTCAACATACAAGTGCTTTGTCTGGTCCTATGTCTAGTTCTCTTGCTCCTGCCAATTCTCTCTCGAGGCATCCCAATCCTGGTCCTACTACATCCTCTGATCCCCATTTGGTGGCTGACTCTGGTGAGACTCAGCCAGCACACCCCACAAGTTACTATCACTTAAGTAGCATAGGTCATGTTCTTGAAATTTATCATCCAGACAAAATTCTGCAGCAATACCTCAGTCCAATATGCCATAGTCTAGGTTTGTTCAGTCTGCCCAAAGTTATAGCTCTGTTGACTCTGTTGCACAAGAGTCTGGCAGAAGTCAAAACCTAATCAAGTCTGGTACAAGCCATAGTCTGCCCATTCCTACTACTAGCCATGTGTTGAGCCCACCTAACCATAATGTAGGCTCCCTTACAGAGAGTAAAACCTGCCAGACTAGACACCAATCTCTAATATTAAACGAGACACACAAATCTACTTCTAAGAGCATAAATATCAATGTCATGTCATCGTTCATTCATGAAAACCAAAGCCTTTTTGTGAGAAATTGATGGATGTTTGAAAATTTTAACTGTCCTTTAATTTCCCAACGTTGTTCTACAAGAGAATGTTTCTCATTACTTCTTAACCATTAAAGTTGAATTAAAAATTATATATAATTAAATGTAAGGTATTTGGTGGGACCCATTTTAGAATTTTTGATGGGTTGTATGGATATTTAAAAAATATAGTTGGGTTGTTTAGAAAATATTAAAGTGGAATATCATATAAAAAATTACGTGGACTCCATCTAAAGAATCAAAGTGGGGATAATGAGTGTGGATGATCTAAGGCTTTTAGTTACCCTGAGGGTAACTACCAAGAAGTTTCTTCTACAAATATCTCACCTGCTATTAAAACACAGTCTGTTCCCCTATCTTCCTCTACTCAAGAACATAATATCACCTTTTGCTCAAATGAACTCACTCTCTCCTCTTGCATTTCCATTTATGAGTCCTCTCAATCTCCCGCCATTGGTAAAAATATGCCCATTGTTCTGCCACCTGCAAACGCTCATCCCATGATGAATAGGGCCAAAACTGGTAAGTCCAAACCCAAAGTGTTTCTAGCTCATTCTGAATCTGAACCAACTAGTATCAAATAAGCCCTAACCAAGCCTGAGTGGGTTAAATCCATGACAGATGAATACAATGCTCTTTAAACTAACAACACATGGTTACTTACCATTCTTCCTCCTAACATAAAGGACGTAGGTTGTAGGTGGGTATTCAAGATGAAAGAAAATACTGATGAAACCGTTCACAAGTACAAATCCATACTCATGGCAAAGGAATTTCATCAAGAACAAGGTTTTGACTACACATAAACCTTTTCTCAAATGGTTAAGCCTTCTACTATTAGGGTAATTCTTACTCTTGCTCTCGCATACAAATGGAATATACAACAAATAGATGTTAATAATGCTTTTCTAAATGGTAATTTTCATGGTGAGGTTTACATGACTCAACCACCTGGCTTTGTAAGCTCTAATAAAATCTTGTCTGCAAACTTCATAAAGTTATCTATGGTCTTAAACAGGCCCCAAGGGCCTGGTATGAGAAAGTGTCCAAAGCCTTGTTACTTTTTGGTTTTAACACCTCCAAATGTGATAACTCTCTTTTTGTTTAATCCAAGTTTGGTGTAACTTTGTATGCTCTAGTTTAAGTTGATGATATACTCATCATTGGCTCTAACATTGATCTTACACACACATTAATTGACAAGTTGCATAATGAGTTAGCTTTAAAAAGGTTGGGGCAACCTAGATACTTTCTAGGTATTGAGGCGGATTTCTGCATTAATGGCTCTATGTTTCTAACTCAATCCAAGTATGTCAAAGATCTCCTCACAAGAGCAAAGATGGACAATATCAATGGTGTTCCTACGCCAATGTTAACTAGCTGTAAGTTGAGCAAACATGGCCCAAACCAATTTTCTGATCCTCATTTGTACAGGTCTATGGTTGGAGCTCTTCAATATGTTTCCTTAACTAGGCCTGACATAACTTCTAATGTGAATAAACTTGTCAATTTATGTCATTCCCCTTTATACACATTGGGTTGCTGTAAGAAGACTACTGAGATATTTAAGTGGTACCAGCAAATACGGTATCATGTTAGCTCCCTCTCTTTCTCCCTCAAAGTTCTCTATTCGAGCCTACAGTGATTCTGGTTGGGCAAGTGATCCTGATTACAAAAGGTCGACTTCAGGTTCCTGCATATTTTTTGGGCCAAACTTGGTGTTTTGGAGTTCAAAGAAACAATCCATAGTCGCTCGTTCTAGTACAGAAGCGGAATATTGTGCTTTGCCTCACACCACATTTGAACTACTTTGATTAGAATCTCTTTTGTTTGAACTTCGTATTCCTATTCATCCACCAATGTTGCTTTGTGACAACTTAAGTGTTGTCTTCTTGCCTCATAATCGCGTCCTACATGCTCGAACGAAACATATTGAATTAGATATTCACTTTGTCAAAGAACGCGTAGTGGCTCGGAAGCTGCAAATCTAACATGTTCCTGCAAGTTTCCAACTAACTGACACTCTCACGAAGCCACTTGGAGCGTCTGCTTTTCAAGATCTTAGGATCAAACTCAAGGTGGTTCAGCAGCTTTCCCACTCTTCAGTTTGAGGGGGTGTTAGGAATATAGTGCAGTAGCTTTAGTGTGCACCAGTTGTAGTCTATCATTACTACTGTAACTAATTTCTGTTTGCATCTAGTCATTGTCAGCTCAACTTTCTGGTTGCTAAATCAGCTTGTAAATATGTGAATAAACATTGTTCTATTGATTAATGAAAGATAGAATCCTTTTCACTCTTATCATGTTATCTCACGGATACTTTCTGCCTCACTAAGTGAAACTCTTTCACTAGCTGAATCATCCTCACAAAATGAAGGATGAAGAGAGTAAATCTCTAACAAGTATTTGCTAAGATGATGACTACTAACACAATCCTTCCATATAAAGGTATGTAGTTACCATTCCAATATACAAATAATTTCACATTTAGTTGTCGTGTTCATAATATAGAAACCAATAATGACTTTTTATGTTATTCTTAATTATTAATATTGTTTATACGATTACAAAAAGTCTAACTCCAAATGATACTGGCACCAAAAGCTAGACAAAAGCTAGAACATGCAATAATATTTGCTTAAGGACAATTGTTATTCTTACCAGGTCCACCATAGTAAAAGTGATTTCCCCAATCACGATTACTTCCTCCTTTTATATTATAACAATTTGCATTAGTTGTAAAATAACTAGGTTCTGCAAACAATGGAATCCATGTGTTATCAGAATCTAGAACTTCAATATTTCTAAAAAATGAAGCTTTTTTAAAACCCTCCTCAGAAAAGTTTCCACTACCCATTTGGGTGGAAGAAGCTTGTGGAGAATGATTATTTGTTATTTCTCCACCCCAATGAACTTCAGTGGCAACTTCCTTCAAGTTTGTGAATAAGGATGATGGCCAGTAACCAATGAAATTCCCAGATCCATAATCCAGCCACCAGTTTCCAGTCTTTACATCCTTCACAAAATAAATAAATCAAAAACATAAGGAAAATACAATACATTATTCAAATTAATTGACTCATAATACTCTAATAGTGTAGAACTTACCTTCCATATGGATAAGGTAATGTCAAATTGATTTCCATTATATGTAGAAGTTGGAGAAATTGCAGCTCCAAGTGCAATTTTTTTGTTGGTATGAACAAAGCCTGGACAGTCTAAATTGTAGCAACCAGTATGTTGATAATCATCAGCCTGTAATTGTAAATATCATATTTTTTTTTCAATAAAATTTCTAGTACATAATACTCTTTAAGATTTTATTTCAAATTTTTAAATCTATTTGAACTATTATATAGATCAGATATATTTGTATGATAAATTTAAAAAATAATCTAGAGAATAATATATTTTTCGCCTTCTTTACTTTCATCGACTTACCGTCCAATAAACAAATAATCTAGAGCGGTTGTCTTTGTAAATATACGGATATACCTGCATAAAATTTAATTCAACTTAATTCAATATATATCTACACAATATATATATATATATATATATATATATATATATATATATATATATATATATATATATATATATATATATATATATATATATATATATATATATATATATATATATATATATATATATATATATATATATATATATATATATATATATATATATATATATATTAGAACTAGGATCAGAGAATATTAAAAATGCTCTAAAAAATAATGAATTTATAATATAATATAATATAATATGTGAATAATTAACATGCCTGCCAACCAGCTTCAATGGTGTTGAGGTCTTTTCCAGATGTACCAGACATTACCCAGATTTGAGACAAGCTGAATACATTTGGATTTTCTATATGTGGTATCCACACATTTATGCTAGCCTTTGCTCCATACATGTCTCCCCCACGGTATCTCGCAGTTGCATGCTGTAGTAGAGGTGGCAATGGAATCGATTAAGACAAAATTTATCCAATTCATCCATGAAAAACACTTTTCAATTCATTCATCACATAAAAAATAAGTTAATAGATTAGATTAAATTTATCCATTTATATATATGGATGGGTTCAATCTATCTAACATATTTTAAAAATTCAATAAATTATTTTTATTTTTGTTAGATTTATTTTTTTTAAAATAAATTTTTTTTAAAATAATTAAAAAATTATAATTTTTTTTAAAAAAAATCGAATTTTTTTCTGAAAAAAAATAATTTTTTTCTAAATTGTTTTTTATTTCTGAAAAAAAAGTATTTTTTTTCCTGAAAAAAAAGTATTTTTTTTCCTGAAAAAAATCGGTTTTTTTTTTCAGAATAAATAACTGATTTGTTTTTCAAAAAAATATCGATTTTTTTTTGAAAAAAAAATCAATATTTTTCAAAAATTAAAATATTAATTTTTTTTTTGAAAATACAAAAAAGTCAGTTTTTTTAATGAATATATTAAAAAAAAAAATTTTTTTAAATACAAAAAATGATTTTTTCAAAAATAAAATAAAAATATATATTTATTTTTACGAAATAAAAAAAAAGTTGGATGGATAGATATCTATCAATTAAAAATATGTTAATGGATGGATTTTATTCTTAATGGATGAATTTGATTGGATAATTTTAAGAAAATTTTAGTGGATTGTTAATGGATTAATGAATTATTTTAATCCATCCATTAACAATCTAATCCATATTCATCATATCCATCCATTTTACTATCCCTATGCTGTAGTAATAACAAATATCAATTTTAATCAAAACAGGCACCTTATATTGACAAATAAAAAATATCACACTCAATCTTATAGGGACATGATCAAACACTAATTTAAACAAGAGTAAGTTTATGGATCAATTTAAATTGACAAATGTTACACCTAACATATTTTATGGTTTCTGCGACGCACGTTATAGTTGTTGTTGTAACGTAGATTTTAATTGAGAAAAGTTTGAAATACAATATTAAATTTTTTTAAAAATAATAAACAAACATGGACAAAATTATCTTATGCAGTTTCTAATCTGATAACACATGTGATTTTTGTGGATAATTATTATCCATAAAAATAAAAAAATTGAAAGAGAAAAATGAGTTTCTGCGAATGCATACTAGGTGTTCAATGCCGTCACTGAATTTTGTTTCAAATCCGCTAGTACGCTTTGTTCTTAAGATGTCTTGTTCTGTTATTCGTCTAATTGGTATTGTTCCATCGGGACATGATTCACCCGATAAACTCCAAATTTGAAAGTTCTCACTCAAATTACCCATTTGATTATGTCCTCTTGGTAACTTTGGAGGATCCTGTATTAAAAAAAATGCTTTAAAAATTTCAAATTATATATTTGAAATAGTTTCAAAAACTATTTTTAAATTTTCTTAATTAAATAAAATACCAAAGGTTTTTGTCCTTTCAAAAGAGGATGATCAAAAGCTGGTTGTTTATGTGTCAAAACACAATCTATTATATCTCCATCAGGACTCTGCAAAAATGAATACAAAATACATACACACAAATATATAAGTTAGCAATTCGGAAATGAATTATAACAAAAAAAAGTTAGAATTTCTTTATAATTTTAAATAAATTAAAATATTCCTGTATCTAACACTACAGCTATTTTCAAATTTATTTTTACTTACTTGAATGGTCTTAAGTGTAAACTTGTTGATTCGGTTTAGACGGGTAGCAATATTCTTTTTCAACTTGTGAAATTCTTCTCCTGATTGAAAAGTTTGATTGACTAATGGACTGCTTGTTTCTAAACAATTAACAGTACAAAACAAAGAAACAACGACAAGAAAATGAAGGAGTAGGGAGATGATTGGAAAGCTAAAATCCATGTTTGTTTTGTTGTTTGTCCACATAATATATATATATATATATATATATATATATATATATATATATATATATATATATATATATATATATATATATATATATATATATATATATATATATATATATATATATATATATATATATATATATATATATATATATATATATATTCATTAGTCTTAAATCTTAATATTAATTAGAAAATTATTCTTTAACAAAATTAAACAATTATTTTAATATAACACATTTATTATTTAATTATCAAATACTTTAAAATATTTTGACTGAGATTTGAAATTTTCTTATTTATTTATCAAAAAGTTTTGAATATTTTAATGACATTTGAAAATATGATATCTAAAAAAAAATAAAGTATTAAAATAAAATTTTTTGAAAATTTATTTATTCCTTTTTTTTAATTAAGTGTATGTTCATGAATAGTAACAAAATTTTACCAACCATATACAATTTTATAAAAATTTACAATTTTGATCCTTCTATTTTAATCAATTTACGAAATAAGTCCCTTTATATTTTTTAAATAATTTTTATCCACCATATCTCTTTTCCGTCTAAAAAATACTTATGTGTCATTTATTTTGTATATGTGACATAATTTCTACACGAGAGAGAATATAAACAATATTTTTTGGTGAATAAGGAAGACGAATGAACAAGTTGAGAGACAAAGAAGATGAAAAAGACGACTAAAGAAATAAATCGTCGTTAAAATGTAATAAGTAATTAATCTTTCTTACGCAAAGTCAATAAAAATATGTCACGAATCTAAAAAAATAGTTCACAACAGTATTTTTTTGGACAAAAAATAGACATGAAATCAAAACTGTCTAAAAAATAAAAAAGAAAATGATTTACTGAATTTGCCAAAATAAGGGACTAAAATGGTAATTTAGTCAAATTATTTTACATAAAAAAAATATCACAAATAATTCATATATATTTTGATAGATTTATTATGTAATAAATTAATATTATTTAAGTTCTACAAAAACTTGAATCATCATCTATTTGACAATATTTTTACTTTCACTCTAGATATAGTTACTTATATTTGAAATTTAATATTTTAATGATTATGCAATGCTAAATATTTAAATAGTAATTTTAAAGTATTTAATTTTTTTATATTTTATTTGACGCTATTTTATATATGTAACATTATAGAAATTTTATTTTAAAAAATACTATAATGTATAAAGTATAATTTATTCCAAAGCCACATAATTTTTTTAAAATATATATGTCAAAAATAATTCTTTTTATTTAATGTTTTTTAAAATTAACTTTAAATTTAATTTATTATTAAAGAAAATCCAAAAAAAGGTTTTAGCAAAAGGATAAAAATTAACTTTGAGGTGTGAGGATATAATTGCTTTTGTTATTTGACTAACTTATTTAAGTTTCTTGTTTGAATAAGATGCATTTGTGGCATTGTCTATGTCTCCTAAAATCTTTTGTTCGGGCAATATCAAAATATATATTTTTTCCTGTTGAAGTTATTATTATGATGTCATTCTTATCCCATATATATATATATATATATATATATATATATATATATATATATATATATATATATATATATATATATATATATATATATATATATATATATATATATATATATATATATATATATATATATATATATATATATATATATATATATATATATATATATATATATATATATATATATATATATATATTGTTATATTGTTATTCTTCTTTTTTTGATTTTTTTGATTTTTCTTTTTATCGTTGACTTTTTCTTTTTATCGGGAAGAATTAACCTGCCACTCTCCACTTATAGTAAAATTTAATTTTTGTCCTTTAAAAAATTTTGGAAATATAAAATTTTCGGTTTGATATCGAAAATTTCATCATTATATTAGAAATTTTCTCAATTACCATAGTAAGACTTGCATGTGATACACATACCTGAAATTTTAAAATTTTCAATATTATCTATTGGAAATTTTAAAACTTTTGGAGAAGTTATACCAAAAATATAGTGAATACTAGCACGTGGTCTTCGCCCTGGATCAACTGCCCCGTGATCTTCGGAAGGTGGGATGACAGCCTCTTTCGGAAGTAGGTAGTTTCCTGATGACTTGTCCCCGCGTGGAGGACACATGAAGAACGTGGGGGAAGCGCGTGGGCCCCTGCTGGGAAGGTCGTCTGCTCGATGAAAGTGCCTTGTTGAGGTTCATGTCCGATAGAAGAAATTAGGGCTTGTTGGGCCTCATCATCCTGGCCCTGGGTTGGGCTTTCCCGGCTATAAGGCAGGCCCCGGCACAGTCCAGAACAGGAGCCCCCCAAGTCGTTTCTCTGAGGAGGAGGAGGAGTAATGACTTAAGGGCAAGTCAGGATGTCAAGGATCTTTTAGGGAGATAGAATCTGCCTGATGCATGGAGTTAGGGGTCGCTTATTGTGCCAGGAGAGGAGGTATGTCGGGGATGCTAGGAGACACACAAAGAACCTAGGAGATATGTCGGGGAGCCAGACGGGGAGATGGATGGCTTGCTGAGTTTTTGGAGCCGCCACGTGTTAGGCAGCCACTGCTTGACTAGGGCGGCTAGGGGTAGTGGTGCTTTAGTGTCTAAGGGTGCCTCGAGTCCTGTGCTAGGCTTATAAATAGCCTGATCCTACTCCATTTCCCGTTTTTCACTCTCTCTGCTCCCGACGCCGCTTTTCTTTCTCTTCTGCCTTCTCAACCTTTGCACAACAACGTCTGCCGTCTGCCGCCGTACCGACCTATGCATCATTTTCCTAGAACCGCCGTTCCAAAACCATGCCAGGAACTACTGGACTTCCTAGGGACATAAGTATTCATCACAATAATACTTAAGCCAGACAACTTGACAAAGTTGGGGTGACAAACAGAGGATAAGTAAAGGGTTCGATGATGACCGAAGGATCTCAAGATGATATCCATTAACCATTAGGAACGCCTAGCGGATTCTTGACAAAGAAAACCGTCTAACTGGATCATAAAGGCTACAACGAAAACAAAATCGAAACACGAGGTGTGCTAAAAAAATGGATATGCTAAAGATATGATGCAGATGCAATGTCGGACGACCCGCAGGGAAAAGCAACGACAGAAAGATAACGATCTAACACAGGGGAAACAAAGAGAATCACACTGAATCTCGTTTTTGGATTATGGTACTAATCCTCTAGCGATTCTGTTGGGAAAGTGATCTTTGTTCTGGCAAACTTACTAGAGAGAGTTCGTGACTTCAATCAGCTAGCCAATTCACTAATCAAAGATGTCGACCCTCTAGCGTGACGGTGTGGGAAAAGAAATCTCCATAGAACCTTATATTGCTGAGATGATAGTATCGAGGTTTCAACCGTTCTTCCCTCATGAGAGGAGTCAAAAATTTACACCATTCAGTCGCAATTAAAGTTTGTTTTGCCTGTTATTTAATTTTCTTTAAAACATATTTTGTCGCTTCAAAAACTTTTGCAATAAAAAATCATTATTAACGAATAAGTGATGTTTTGCATAACAAAAAGGTAGAGCATAATATAAACAAAGATAGGTCCAAATCTGATTTTATTCAAGGATGGAAACTTACGAAGGTTAAAGTCCTGCGGAACAATTACAACTTGGAAAAATGGTAATACAGGTAAAGGTTTACAAAAATCCAACGATCATCCATTCCTAACAAACTAAGAGTCGGTCTGAAATGTTGCCCCTAACGAGAGTGGTGGAAAGTGAGACTTTTTGATGGTCTTCTGCAGTAGTGACAACTCTCGATGCATTGAAATGCCTTTGTTGCTCATTTTTGCCTAAGCCGCATTTCCAGGTTTTTGACTTAGCGAGCTTCTCTTTTATTTTGTTTTATCCCTAATTTTTGCCTAAGCTTCCTTTCCAGGTCTCAACTTTCTTAGGCATGATATTTTCTTACTGCATCTGAGTTCACAGGATGAGGAAGTTGTTCACCGTCCAAGTTATGACCATTCCAAATAACCTTGTAATTAGGGTTTTTCATAAAACCTAATTTCTTGATTCACAAGTTATGCATCAATTCTTGATTAAATATTCACTAAACTCAGTAGTTTGGCATAAAATGATGTTGGAACCCTTGATTGCTTCAATTTGGGGTCAAAACCCTAATAGTCAAAGAGTTAGACAGACGAACCGAACAGTTGAAATCTTCAGGATCGATCCTTAGTGTTCTGGGGTTTTTTGAACCTTTCATACTTCTTGAGGGGACTTCAATAAGTCATAGAAACATCATGGACCATGTTTCAAGCTTTGGAAACCCATTTAGACCAAAAGTCAAACTATAGTTGACTTTTTCAACTAGAAACCCTAATCAGGGTTTTGCACATCACTGCTTCAATTCTCTTGGTAACAACCTCAAATAGCACTTGTTCTCGGTAAGATATGAACCTCTTGATGATTTGAAGACTTGATATGTAGAAGATCAATCCAAAACCTTGATAGATCAGTCCATAGGATTCTTGATTTTAACAGTGTGAAACCCTAATTCATCCGCATCTTGATAAAGACTAACTTGAAAGAGGTTAGGATTAGATAACATATGTTTGATGCACCTAGAATGATAATGGAATCTAGGGGTCCAAATTTGGTGTGTGACACTTGTACTTTACATATTTGCTTTTGTGTGGTTGCTTAGTTAGTAATCTACCTTTGTCATATTATGGTTTAAAAGAGGGAGTAGTACTAACTTAAGTAATCATTGGTTGTTGGCTACTGTTGAGGGGTGTCATACCCTAAATTTGTCCTACCTTTTTGTAAATATTTTCGCTTTTATCGTTCCGTGCCATTTAGACACGTGCCATCTCGCAATTAGTTGATTTTTCAGAAATTTATCTTTTGACCAATTAAAGCGTGACACGTGGCCTAAGTTTTTGTTTGTGAATATTATTTCAATTTCTTAAATTTTCTTTTCCTTGTAAAATATTGTTAACAATGATAAATATTTTATGTATATACTTG